AATTACCATTATTTTAATTACTGTCCGTAGGATTTTAACAAATATACTGTGACAGTACTTCTACTGTCATCAACGTCCAGATTTAATTATGTTAAAATCATTACTTTACATATTTTAACATCTGTAATAAATATAATAAATGAATGACTTACTACTTATCCATCCATCTTCTATATAACCATTGATCACTGGGAAACACATTATCCAAACGTACACAAATCTTATGAAAGTATGGAATACATTTCTAAACTGTTCATAGCTTCTTTCAGACAATGTTCTGTAGGACACTTAATGTTTCACAAATCATACATATTATAACCAATAATAACCCTACAACTAAGTATAATAAATGAACCACTTATTGATTACTATTATTTGAAATACCAAACCTTTCAGACTGTATAACACTGAGACACTAATAGGCAATTGCATACATACAATCTGGACACAGACTATTAACAATTACAAAGGTCAGACACAAATAGTGTGGACACTGACGTCAAGACAAGTGATTGTAGGAAAGCTGTCACGTGGTCACACATACAGAGATATTTTAACGTAATAACCAATCCATGACCTTTCTTCATTAGTCCCATTGAAAAGAACATTACATGTACCTTTATACATCTTTCAAAACTTTATATACAGTTAAACTTAGTTGTTTTTCAAATGCACAAAAAAACATCACCAGCATTATAATTTTTCGATTATTTCGAAGTATAACTGATACACAGCATTCTGGTTAATAAAGACTTAGCAAAGCAAATATCAAACATTGTGTTTCGTATAGTACTTCTAAACTTGACTTCGTTAATATATATATGACGTGCAGCTGAGTTTATTAATCACTGTATGGTTTTTAGTATACGACTCTAAACTTAAGGATTTTCGTATATTTACTCTAAAATTTATAAGAATTTGGTATTTTGGAAATGGAATAATTAATACAATTTCCACTTTAAGAAGAAATGAAGCCATCGAATTATACATTATTTAGAACATAAATTAAATAATAGAAAGAACTAAGTTTTTTTAAATTCACACAAAATTTTTATCTGTTGTACACAGTTCTTGTTTCTCATCTGATGGTGCCAAGTAAATCTGGTGAAACGTTGTGGAGAAAATAGATAAAAGTTTTACTATGTACAACCGATAAAAAAAACAAAACATGTGTGAATGTGTAGAACAATTGACTATTAAATTATTGAAACTGAAACCAGTAAGCAGTTCTTCAACGTTGGATTACACATTTTCTTTAACGTGTTTCTCTAATTAAAGGTTTAGTCCTTTTGATCTCATTGTGCCTGAAACATTAAAGAAGGTGTTGTCATAGTAACGAGAAAAGATTTACTGCAACCATGGAAACGGCCCAGACATGTTAAGTTGATCGGGCTACAGTTCGCAGTCAGAATAAACCAGATGATTACAACTCTTGTGTAATCTTGGCTGTTTATATATGATGACAGACAGTAACAAATAAATTGTTGTGTAACATTGTGTGATGCTAGCTCTCTATAATACACCGATAAATAATTATTAACGAAGTTCTTGTCAGCTTTATTCATATAACATATAATATCCTAAGTGAAGCTTTGCTTTCTGCTTAAAAAACAGCGGTAACTGACATATAATATCCTAAGTGAAGCTAATTAACACTTACCTGCCCAAGCAGATAATCTGTAGCATCCGCTCTCTCAATGGATACCTAGATATATTCATAGAAGAATAGATAGGAACTTAATAGTGAAAAATTTCATCGCAGGTTTTCTCAACCAAATCTTGCATCATCATGTGATATACCAGACATCTATTAATTGACTCATTATTATTTATCGCTATATACAAACAAGCAGTGTTTGTAGAACAACAGTCGGTACTTTTTATTTTTTTACTTCATAAGCATAGCCTTGACTTTTAAAAATTACTATAAGATAATGATTATTTGTATTAACAGTTGTAGTTTTATAATTACACGTGGCATACACATGAAGTTGTGTTAGATAACAAGCTTTTGATTATTGTACATTTATATATGTACATAATCTGAACTTATGTTACAGCTGAGTTAGAGAAAAACTTGTTGGTTATTATACTCTTTATATATAGATGCTCTCATATTATACAATAGCTATGTTAGAAACTTGGTGTTTTTACGTTTTTAGATAAATGATATGACAATATGTAAGAACTACTTGTATATTAGAGTACATGTTGGTTATAATTTATTATTAAACAGGTTAGAAAAAGTTTTTTAATGAATATGTATAATTTTTATTTTAAACACAGGCTTTTATAAGTTACATCTATCTATTTTTAAATAATATAAAATATACTTACAATCAATATCTTAAAGAAACAACTGAAGTTTAATCGAAAGCTTTCCTGTTTTATTTTTACATATTTAATGGCATGTAGCAGCATTAATGTATAATGTGAATGTTTGATATATTTTGATGAATGATAAACGTAGAAGAATTTACGAATTGTACAATTACAAGTTTTGAATTATTTCTATCACCTTGTAAGTCTAAAAGAAAACTTGCAAAATTATTAATATTACATTTATTTTAACGTGACAGTAATTTAGTCTGAAGGAAGAGTGCGCAACAATAATGGCGGGCTTTTTTCAACTGGACTGTTCAGGAACAATCGTTCTTCTTCGCTTATTTTTAACTAAGCCAGAGTGAGTTTCATTTCGTTAGATTGCGAGTTACGGATCTAACTTTGGTTGGGGGTGGATGGGAGTTGATGAAAGGAAAGCCGTAAAGCAGACCGGTGAAAGCCCGTAATTCATAATATCTGGATGTCTTCCTGGTTGTCTAACGTTATGATGGTGTGTTTTCTCTTCTCTTCTTTATTGGAAGGAACCATAAGCATGTGACCCAGCAGCTAGTCCAGTGTCCACCTCGGTTTATTAGTTAATAAAGGTTTTAGAAATAGATTTATCAGGAATGATGTAAAGTATCAAATCGGGTAGTTTGGATAGACTGAAAAATAGGTAGAGTAGTGTCCAGTCAAATGGCCATTTTCAGGGTGTGGGAATTGTAGGTCCAATGCCCTTGTGAATTTTGATGTGGAAGGAAACCGGAATAGCCGGAGAAAACCCATTTTCTATCTGTCCTGTTCAAGAGTTACTCATGACGTACTAGTTAATGAGATGAAAGCATATAGCCTCCCCCTGTTAGCGAATAAAAGCCGGCAAAGTAGTTGTGAAACAGATTCGAACAACAGGCATGAGGGAACGGTTTATCAATTTAAACAGTCTTTACTGTTAGACTCCTAATTTTAATTGCATGTAAAGGAAAGTAAGTGTATTGAATATCGAACTTTGAAGTATATAGATAAGATTGTTAGAGCTTAGAGGATCTGGTGAAGAAAGTTGAGTGCATAAATTTCGTCCTAAACTTTATAGATTATCGTGAAAGTTGACGTATTTCTTTTGTGTTTTGTGCCCTATAGTGAGAATTTTAAAATGTATTCTAAGAAGTCAGTGTTCATTTTAATAACTATATATGTACGTTATAAGAAATATTTAAGAAAATAATCGTTATTATGGACAAGAAGTATTAGAACCGACTATAGAACATTAATAGTTGGAGTTGGTTAATAATCGATTTCAGAAACCAGCCAGTTTTAGATATTCCTTCATTCTAGACCGTTGGATAAAATTTGAAATCGGTAACATCACTTCGAAAATACTTTAAACAACTCGCTGTTTCTGAGACAAAAACTTGGTAATTACGAAAAACAAAGAGCTAACATCTGCCAGATGGCTATGTGTAATGACGCTTAAAACAGAATGTAGAAAACGAGGCCAGCAGTAGGGCGTGCCCACGTACCACTGACTGTCTTAAGGTATTGGCAGCTGGTTGAAGTTATATTTTGGCGACATAACTAGACAGATGTGACATTCAGAATTTGTACCAGAAAACTATTGACCTCGTTGTTCGGGACGAACCTCCTTTAGGATGTCGAGAGTAAACGAGACGTGCAGTGAATCGCTTTCGTGAAAGAAGGGAATCATGGCAAAAATGATACAATTAAATAAAGAAAATCACCTACAGAAAATATTTAAGTCATACCTTAGTGATGCATGGTTATCTCTAAAGCTTTCTATATGTCTGACGTAAGCTATGTTATATATTTTCCATTCTTGTTTAGTATTTTATAGAATTCACTGAAAGCAAACTGTGGTTTTACTTATTGCAAAATTTTTTTATTTATTTATACCTCAAGTGTGAAAAAGAAAAATATTTCGAAGGTGGATGAAGGAGAACAACTTTATTGGCACCTTAGTGCTACAAGGTTTGTAAATATCCTAACAGAGTACCAAGCGTTGCTCAGATGAAAATGGCTGTAACAGATTTAGTTCTTTATTTACGTGCTAATTTATTGTTCTACTGTAAAGCTTCTTTGTACACAATATTTTTTGTCTTGCTGTCAGGAGCATATAAGAAGAGATTATGAGCAAAGGAGCAAATGAAGGCTCCACAAAGTTTGTAAATCGTTTTAACACATAATTAATTATGGATAGAATGATTAGAAGAAGTCCTCACACGGAGAAGAAACGTAAATAATAGCCCTCTTGATCACACACTACTAAAAAATTCCGGCCTTTTCAATTAGAGACCAATTGGTCATCGTGTTTGCCAAAAATTGCTATATTGGTCACCTTGGCCTAAATTTGCGGCCTCAAAACCGCCTCTGAGGCCACGGCAACATAACCCGTGTTACTTCCTGCACAAAATTATATCTGTCTCCCGAGCTTGTAGCTTTAAAATGTGGCTGTGCACAAGGAACAGACCCACAGAGAGAGACATTCGCGCTTATATCTATAATAATATAAAAGCCTGTATGTGTGTGTGTGTGACCGTCATAGCTCCAAGAGGAAAGAACCTAGCGACCTGAATCTTTGTACGCATACTAAGGGGATTCTGAGTGTGTGCACCTGGGTATTATTTTTAGTTTTACCTCACAAGTGACTGTGTGAAAGAGCCATCATGGCGCCAAAGAATGATGCAGTCAATAACACAGACAGAGAGTTTCTCTCTCAGTTGCCTGGCCAAGTGAAAAAGTACAAGTCAGTTGACACTGTTCCAGACACCAATGAAGCTGTCAATTACCCAACAAAATTCCTCAATTCTCTGGAATCACTAGGTGTGCCACCACACAATCTGGAGCTCAAGTATCTGCTTTTCAGGTATCTGGACTCACCAACACTTTGCAATGGAACACGTTTGGCTGTTAAGAGGCTGATGCCACATGTCATTGAGGCTAAAATATTGATTGGGCATGCTGCATGACAGGATGTCTTCATTTCACGCATTCCAATCATCCCATCTGACTTGTCATTTCAATTCAAGATTGTTGGTCGGAACCTGCAAAGCCCATGCTTTTCTCATGGCCAACTTTATGTTGGTTGCTCCAGTGTTGGTGATGACAAGAGCCTTTTCGTTGTGGCACCAGATGGGAAACAACCAATATTGTCTATCTGAGGCACTGCAAAGATAAAAAAAATTGCAAAACACTGTGATAGAAATATGTGATATAAAATGTGATGTGAATATTAAAATATAAATAAATAATTCTTAACTTACGGCCAATATGTTTTTATTATACAATAAAATTGGTGATTTCTACAGGTGTATGGGAAAAACAAAATCTTTGAAAATATTTTTGGCTGTATCTCATATCTAAAATAGGTTCAAAATACACACACATACACATAAAATATCAATCTAATAACCCGAGCGAAGCCGGGTACTTTGGCTAGTATATAAATATAATTAAATAGCATTCTCACACCACCTATCTTGATCTATACAAATTAACTTCCAATCTTCGCAAAGGAAGATTTTAATATAGATGACAGCTTTTTAACAAAGCAAATCATTTTCAAATTATTATCTAATGAAAGATGAAATAATTTAAAATTTATATATATGCAAAGCTGCTAGCACACTTTAAATGAACAGTTATATGACCGAACTGTTAGAGGCTGAACGCGCGTTATAAGAATGACCGTCAAACCCCACTATTCATTTAGAGAAGCCCAAGAGTCGGCGGTGGGCGGTGTTGACTATCTGCTTTCCCTCTAATCTATCACTGCAAATTTAAGTACGACTACCGCAGATAGCCTTCGAGTAGCACAGAGCGAAATTCAGCAAACAACGATAAGAATAACTAGCACCCACAAACAGAATGTTCAATAATCTGTTGGTTTGTTTGTAGTAAAGCGCAAAGCTACACAATGGATTATCTGTGCTGTGCCCACCAAGGGTATTGAAACCAGGTTTCTAGTGTTATAAGTCCGCAGACTTACCGCTATGCCACTGTGGCGAATATCGAAACTAATTCTATTAATTGCATCTCTTTTCACAGCATTATAATCTTTATGGAGTTTCAATAGACATTACAACATAAAAACAAACATGCTTTATTGTAGTAATTGGCTTAACAAGCTGTTCTAGATAATCTAGTCAAAAAGTGGCTTTTTTAAAAACTAAACTGCCTTAAAAAACAAAAGTATTTATTTTGTTGCTTTTTTCACATCGATAGCACCAAAATATCCATGTAATAAGTTAATGTTTTTATTAACTTTCTAAAATATATTTATCCTATTTTGCTAAAGATTTTTCCATTCGATTATTCGAACTTTCCAAACTATGTTTCCACAAGGAAGATCGACGAGACCTTGCTCATTATTTAGCGAAATCTGTGAAGTAAAAAGCAAAGAGATCCATCAACAATTTTTGAGTTATTGTCGACTCAAAGTTTTGCATAATACTTGGGCACAACAGTATTTCTGTTTTACACGAAGTTACTAAGTTGTCACTCACAGTGGTTATCCAAAATACACTTGAAATCGAACCCACAATGATTACCCTTGAAAAAAACGAAAAAGAAATTCATTAAAATGTTTCAAAGTAGTGTACTAATTAAGTTCAGTCATTCATCTTTGTTCTGATAAAAGGTATTGTAAACTGTACATTTTACAAAAAAAAAAAATACAAAATGAAACAGGGAAAACTATTTGTATCAAAATCAAATTATCTTTCTGTTAAACAAAAAATTTTCATCAAAATGTAATTTTCCACTATATTTATTTTATGTAATTAATACTTGAAACCTTCGATACTTAGTGAAACTCTATAATTACAGAACTGAGAAATGCAAAAAGAAATATTTGTAGAATCGTCTTTTTTTCTTCTCATGCCTGTATGCTCCTTTTATTTATAGATAACTACTTTATTTTTTTCACAATAAAAATAAATAATTAGAAATAAAATGTAAATACTTTTTTTATTTTCTCACGATTACTAATCTTTATTTTTAACTTTGTTAAAGAAACTATTAATAATAAAGAAGTTTATGTTCAGAAACTATTACTTCTGTTATCTATACTGTTTCTTCATCATGTGTGGTTTACTTCTCGTATGCAACTTGATGAAACAAGTTTGTTACGGTGTTACCACAAAACTGATAGATAAATCAAATCGTGCCCCTCAGTGGCACAGCGGAATGTCTACGGACTTACAACGCTAGAAACCGGGTTTCGATACCCGTGGTGGGCAGAGCACAGATAGCCCATTGTGTAGCTTTATGGTTAATTACAATCAAATCATTTTCTTTTTTTTCAAAAATTAATTTCGATTGATATTCACGTAATGAAAGCTGTCTTAAGAACCTTCGGGTCTCATTCTTAAAATGAAATATTAATTCAAATTATTAATTATTAGGCAGCCATTTGTGCAGCTTTGCGCTTAAGTAGATCAATAAAAACAGTGGTGAATGTGTATTGTGTTTCAGCACTTTGTTTTCACTTTGCGCGGTAATGAACCAGGAACTTGTCATGTGAGTCTATAAAAGGCCTATCAATCTTATACATAACGACGTACCAGCAGCCTACTTTGATATTCTCATAAGTTATTATTATAGTCCGTTATCACACAATATTATACTCATACACTCATCTCAATTACTACAGCGATAGGTATAAAAAGGTAAAATTATCTTTACTCACAATGGCCGTCATTATATGACGTCAGTCCAACAGAATGGTCTTACATGTAGACCCATACTAATCACGTGATTGAGCGTCATCGTGTAACATCAATAATGTGAACTGCTTATAACGACAATCTGTCTTTCTACTAACTAACTAACTAACTAAAATTACCTGCGTAATTTAACTATCAAATTAAAATGAAAAGGAAACACTGATTTTGGGACATGAAAAAATTGACAAAACGATTCGTTTAACGAAACGATTGCCACTCGATAACAGCATCAGGTTGTGGTTTAAAACGTACCTAAGTTTTCTGCGCTGTAAGGTAGAATTTTCATGTTAATTTAATTCTGAATATCCTTAAGATATGTCGATCATCATACCTAATTAACAATACATTTTGCTCCGTCGTAAATCAACTAACCTTACATAATCAATCATGCAAACTGCATGAAATAATTTGGTTTTGATAATACGACCAGCTAAATTTCTATGTTTTATAAACTTGGACAATACAATTGATACTGTTTGATCATACCACACTATGGTGTTAACGGCATTGTTTTATGTGTATATAAACATAGATAATACACATGTCAAATATTTCACATTTCTTAACAGTAAATGGTATTAGAGAATCCTGGTTTAGAACAGACCTTTTACAAACGGTTTTGCTATTCTAAGAGAACCTCCACAGGAAGAGGATTAAACATATTAGAACTTACTTTTAAAAACTGTTTTTCCTGTTATAAGCGAACATCTATAAAAGAGAAGATTAAACATATTAGAACTTACTTTTAGAAACGGTTTTTCCTGTTATAAGAGAATATCCATAAAGAGAGGATTAAACATATTAGAACTTACTTTTAAAAACGGTTTTTCTTGTTATAAGAGAATATCCATAAAGAGAGGAGTAAACTTATTAGAACTTACTTTTAGAAGCGGTTTTTCCTGTTATAAGAGAATATCCATAAAGAGAGGAGTAAAC